AAGGACAGATCTGCTGAATGGAATCAGCTTATTTTAAGTGGTTTTGAAATGAAAAAGCTAATCAAACCTGGCAGCATTAAGAACAACTTATGTCACTAAGTGAAGAGCACTCAAAATGAGCTACTTTTAGAGATAAAGGCATGTAGCAAACCAAACTATTTCCTGTGACATTTTCAAGCATGTCTGCGGTTCATACAAGTCGTGAAGGAGAGCAAAACTAACAGATAAGAGGAAGCAGGGGTGCACCGATTGCAGTTTTATGGCTTATCACCGACCGTTAAAAAGATCTGTGATCAGACAATTGTTTTTGCCTGAAAAGTTGCTAAATGCAACTAAATATGGGTGATATAACAAAGACCCTAAGTTGGTGATTACAGTGGGGTTTTACAGCCGTCCGTGTGCAGATGTGACCTTGTGGGTGGGTTTGTCAAGTTGATTTTAAGACTTTTGCTGAGATCAGTTAGATAAGCAAGAGCTGATCTCCCAAAGTTGAGGTTATTGGGCCAATTTATCAGTTTACCTCTGACAGGAAGGCTAAACATAATACAGCAAAGTAGATCTTTTTATGACGAAACACAAAATGCAGAATTAAGAATTTACCGTCTCCAAAGAATTCACATAGTTTCAGTAATGCTAACTATGCCATTATAACTAACATAAGACACTGAAGCTATCATGAAATATTAAGCCTATAATTACTTAGCTTTTATTTTAGAATAGTACAACTACTTTTCAGCTTTTACTCAAACATAGCTCTTCAAGGTAAATCAGAACCAAGCTTAAAAATATGAAAAAACAATCAGAAGCCGAAGCCGATCATAATAGCTGCATCAGACATGCATGTCCAAAGCTTTTCTAAATTCTGGTACCGTTGCATGTTTTTTTTCTGTTAACAGGAAACTCCTTGGATATTGCACAGAGCGACGTCGCGGCGAACGAAGACTACAGGAAAGCAAAGATGGCACGTCACTCCTCCTTCAATGTCACACCTGCTGCGGCCGGCGTGCGGCGGCAGGTCAGCTCCGCCCCCAGCAGCCCGCGCCACCACCTGCCAGGTACCAATCACATGAGGACGCTGGCTTTGACTGTTTTGTTTGTCGTTGTTTTGTGGCTCAGAACATGCAATTATAATGACAATGATACTCTGCACACTCCAGGTATCCAGAATCAATCTTTGGATTACTCAAGAAAGACCATGATCAACGGCCATGTGCGCCAGCAGCAGTGTGGAGGCAGCACAGAGTGAGTTCATACTACAACATTCTTAAACTTTTTAAGTGCACCTTGCAAAAGAATTTGTATATTTTCAATTTTTGTCACGTTTTGTTCCGTTACAACCAGAATTCAATGCTTTCTATTGAGACTTTATGAGACGAACCAACAAGAAAAGTAATTTAAACTCTGCCTCGTTGGTTTGATTGGACTTTGACGAGGCCATTTTAAACATACAGTCTCGTTTCTGTCCAACAGTTGCCTAAGCATGCCGCTGTACGCCCAGGTCACACACACCTCCGCTCACCCCGCTGTTGTGGCCACGCAGCCCTGCCCCGAGCACCTCCTCGCCACCCCCCCACACTGCCTGGCCTACCTGCCCAGCCTCTCACACCCCTCTGTCGTCATGCTCTACAAGCCGCCGGAGCAGCAAGAATGGGCGCCTGAAGGTCAGAGGTCAGCAAAGACAGACTCTCAGGATGAGAGGAAGAGGAGGAGAGAGTCAGGTGAAAGTGTAGAGGAGGCGGTATTGAAAAAGAAGAGCAGATCTGGTTCAGAGACGTCTGAAAAGGTGAGGGGTCAGTTTGTTTTGGTTTTGGTTAAATCCTGTAGAGGTCTCTGGTCCGCACATCCTTACAAAGTCGATATTCTATGTAGTCTTTTTTTTCTCTTGTGACTTTTCTCAGGCAGTTGAAGTGACTGATAAAGTTGCTGCCACTTTACCTTTCCTAGGTATTAGCAGGAACCTTTGCTTAGGGTCCATTTCTTTTGTAAATTTCTGACGTAATACGGGTCTTAAATTTCATTCCTAATGATTTTACAAACGTTTATAAAAGTCTTTATTTTGAATTGGTGAGTCCTGCAGAAATTCCCCGTTTAAGAAAGTGTGATCCTAAATCCCTGTTTTTGTTTCTGCGCAGACCGGAGCTCAGTCTCAAAGAGAAGCAGCAATGTTCTCAGAGACCCACAACACATCTGCTGTATCGTGCCCCTCTGGCCAGCAGAGGGCCACAGAGAGATGTGCTGGCAACAGCATTGGGGAGAACACACAACCATCACACTACCTCTACGTCCCCAACAGTGCAGGTAAAACATACCACACTGAGAAAGCAGGCATTAAAAATACAAACTTTTAAAAATAAAAAATTACAGGCTCCCTTCTTCTCTGTGTCTCTTATTCAGGATTAAACAACTTCAACTTCTTTATCCCCGCTGGCCAGCCTGCAGCCAACCTGTCTCTCCATCCCAGCAGTGTGCCCACCATGGCTCTGCCGTACGTCCTGGTGCCTTCTGCCGCGCTCTCTCACTACCCCCTTGTGGCTGCCGGCGTACAGCAGAAGCAAACGTCCGATAATCCCAGCGGTCTGCGTTTCGGTCTGCCTGCCATGATGTCTCCCGCCGCCTTCATGGTGGGGACAGCGCCTAATAGCATAATGGAGGCATCAGAAGTCAGCGTGCAGCATCTTCCGTCGCCGGTCACTCCGGAACAGGGCAGACGTCACGTGTCAGCAGCGGGGACGCCGCGCTCTCCCGCAGGGCCCAGACAGAACGTCGGCTTCAGCGCACCAGAACCTTCGGTACGGACCGGCTGTGGCCCTCTGTCTTTTTCTTTTTCCTGCTTCTGTCTTCAAATTCACTCGTACCAAATTACGGTGCTGCCACAACCGTGCTTCATGTTTCTGCTGCATGTTACATTTTGTTTGTTGGTCAAAAAGTTCTGTTTGGGCCTGGTCCAAACAGACCACTTTCTTCCAATTGCTCAAGTGAACTAAACTATTGCTTGATGTGCGCACCATCATTAAGGGTTCTATTTGAAAAGTTACACAGTCAAAAATAATTTGGATTATTTGGTCAGAGGAAAAATAAAATTGAAGTTAATTTCTTAAAGTAATATTTTCATCATGTTATTCATATTTTAGTACATGTGAAAGCTCTAAGTATCTAATTAGCAAGATATGCATTTTGCTAACTAAATTCTTGGAGGTAAGTTTTTACCTTACTAATGAAAGATTTTTGATACGGAGCTAAACTTTTAGCTAAATTTTTAGTTTGCTCAGTTTGTTTTTGGTTTCAAAATAAATATTTAGTTTGCTAATTTAGTTTGAAACCGTAACATTTCTTAATTTAATAACAGGCCAAATCATCGCTAGTATTTTTTGACTGTTTAACTTAATAAATAACACTCATACCTCCTTTCACATCTCTCTTCTGGTCTCTTTTCACAGACTCCACATACCCCCAAGGAAATCACAGCTTCCTCTTCCAAAGCGTTCTTCCAGACCCCAGGAACTCTGGGAAGTGTAGTGAGTGCCGTGCCAGCCGCTCGGAAAAGAGGCTCCGCACAGAGGAGACTGGACGTCGGCCATGCCGCGGCGCCATGAAGGGATGAGACTTTGCGTTTAGGCAGCCACTTTGAAGTGGGGAAACATTAACAAACGCTTCTGGTGCTCAGGTTTCCTGGATACAAAAGGGAGAAGAAATGTTTTAGCAAAAAGACTGATGTTTTTTTTTTGTTTGTTTGTTTTTTTACTATGTATCACTCTGAAGATATTAGCAGATCAAATATGACTCGAGGTTAGATTCCAGGACATTTCATGGTAAATTAGTCAAGCTGTATTGCCAAGCTACTGCCCTCTCATGGTGGGGGTTGGTAACTGCTGTCTTTTTTTTTTTAATTCAGCGTTAATATTCCCTCCCATACATGATCAAGCTACCTAATTCTTCCTGTTTTATGTATTAAAGCCCAACTAGTATTTATACTTTATCTAATATATGTTAATTACAGAAGCTGTAATGGGACACTTAGCTTTCTTTTAGCACTAAACATTTATATGTAATATGCATCTAATTTTAAAGAGATCTTTAGCTGGCCCCCACTGTCTTGTGTCACATGAAGAAGGTGTAATAGGAAATCTGCTCTCGGTTAGTGGTAGGAACGACCTCGTTTTAGACATTTCTGTAAAAATCACTAAAGCCTTAAATGTTTACAGCCTTTCAAGTTGATATTCCACTTCAGGAGGATGTTACTTATTGTATTTGCGCGAATACTAAACGAAATGTGACGATGCTCTCAGGTACTTGAATACTGGTACTGAATTAAATGTATTTATATCAGAGTACTGTAACAGACGTACAGGGGAATCCATCTGACGTGCTTTTAATCTTTGTTCTCACATATCCAGCAGACGCCTGTGTTGGATGTTGACAGCTGAGATGAGAATGTTGTCTTTAACCACTGTTTCTCTGGTTGGGCCTGCTTTCAGGCAGCCCAACACAAACCCTGGTGCTTATTCAGGACGCACCCATTGGTCAGAGTCACACCCACTCTAACCAATGGGTGTTTGGGTCTCCATTTCACAGGTAAACGTCAGTTATTAATATTCCTACATAGCCAGTGTTTATGAGCAGAATGTGGGTTTCGGCGTTGCTCTCTCACTGTAGCCGCTCTCTATAGTTCCGGGAGTGTAGCGGTTTTTCTTCGATGCATTTCACAAGCTTCATTTTAATAAAAATGTGATTTTTTTTTTAAAAACAACAACTTTTTTTAAGCTTTGTGTTACATGTGTGTTTTCATTCTAACACTCCATTCAGCCAACAGGCAGCAGACGCTTTTTTTTTTTTAAATCAGATATAAACATATTAACTTCTCGCCGGTATTATTGTCGTGTCAGTTTGTACGCCTCTGACCGTTATATCACTCCGCCTGTGGTGATGAAGCTGCCCAGGTCAGGTGCGCTCCGCCCTCTACGTCAGAGCTGAGCTCACTCCGCCGTGAAGCTCCGCCCCCCGGTGAAACAGTAGAAATGGGGAATTATGTGGCATTTCGGCGTCGCTGTTAACAGTCTGGAACCTCCGTGGAAGCGTCTGCATTCAAGGTAAACGAAGCTTTCCCAACCTCCAGAACCAGGACTGCCTTTTAAGTAGTAAGTGCAGCTTAATTTTAGTTTCCTATCAACTAGAACACTTCATTATAAAGTTAGTATGCTTGTGTTTGTAGTATTGAAGGTAATATTTAGCTAGGTGCGGCGCTGCTTTCCAGCTGCATTTGCCAAGTGACGCAATGTTCATTATAGTGGATATAACTCGGTTAGTTGTTGTTTTTACGCTCAGCCTAAATATAAGGCAAATAATACATCTATTAAAGCTCAGTTGCAGTGCTTAAATTAACATTTCACCCTTATTTAACCCCCAAAAATGAAATATTTACCTTTCCCATGACGTGTTCTGCGCGTGCTCTCATTTTTACCTTACGAGAATATTAGTGTTGGTTCTGAAAATCATCTTTAACATCCACTAATTGTCCCCAGGCTGTTTCATGTCCCCTTCTTGGGACTAACTGGTGAAAGCTGGATCAACTTTCCCACTTTAAAACCTAAATACAAACCAATAACCAGATCTTTCTTCCTATTGGTCCATTTTTCAGTGAACGTGCACTTTACGCAGACCTGGTCAAGTATTTAAAAAGGAAACGGGGAAAATGTATTTCATCAGTTTTTAAGAAAACACAAGGGATTATGGGAGAATGCTTCATTTTTTCATTCTATAACAGATGTTTTCATCTGGCTATCTTCTATTCATTTGTGTGGGAACCCCTCCTCAAAGAATAGAGATGTATTCATATTTCAATATTAAATTACTTATCCCATTCTTTAAAAAGTCATATCCATCCTCTAATCTCTTCCAAGGGGAAAGGAGGGGAGCATAGGCATAATCTACATTTCAGAATATATTCACTTTCTTCCTTTTAAATTGCTCTTCTATCCATCCATGTTTGCAGCTTCCATGTTGAAATATTGCAAACGAAGTCTGATAAAGAAAATGCTGCCAAAATAAAAAAGAAAGTGTCAGAAAAAAATGTGGACACCCTGTAATCACTGATCGCTTTCCTACTCGCTGCGGTTACTTTTTCGCAGGTCAGAGTTCACATAACTTTCATGTTTTCATCTGTCGAACAGGAGTGAGTCTACAAAGCCTGAAAAGAGCGTAGCTTCTCGCTCAGACGCCGTCATGCGCTGATCCCAGGGCCGCTGCAGCCTGAGGCATGGCGCCTTGCGAACATTCCTCTGGGTATTAGTCTGCCCTCTTGTTTGGGCTGACCTTGTTTGCACAGCTTTTGTTTTTATTTTCCTCCCTGTGGCAGGCGCTGCCATGATTTGGGGTTGATGCCTCAAATTATGGACCGTTAGCGCAGTAACCACAGGCTTTTGTGGAGGGGGGCGAGTACAGTGTCAGAATGCAGAGCGGCCTTTTGTTGCAGGGCATGTCAAAGCAGGACGATCATAATCTCACCATCTTTCCACAGAGAGACGCACAATGCCCAACTGGGGAGGAGGCAACAAGTGCTCGGCGTGCCACGGAACGGTTTACCATGCCGAGGAGGTGCAGTGTGACGGGAAGAGCTTCCATAAATGCTGCTTTCTCTGCAGTAAGTACATCTGGGAAACACAATGGGAGAGGGAGGTTTTATTTCGAGCTCCGCTCAGCGTTCATGCAAATAGAAAAAGAAAAAAAAAAGATTAGTAAACCTGAAGCAAAGTCTTCTGACTTTTCGAACGCTGAGAATTTGAGATTAATGTCAGAAATCTTATGGAAAAAACAATTTTTTAAAATTATTTTTAGTTTTATATCTTCGGTGGCCCGTAGATAAAAAAGTTCAAAAACTAAACAGACTGGCTAAATTAAGTTTCAGCTTTTTTTTTTCATGTTTTCTTGTTTGTCATAGTGAATTCACACAGTTAACATCCTTATCTTAAATAGTCATCTATGACCCTGTAGCTGCTGTAGAGTCACTTTTGTTACAATGATGGGAAATAACAAAATTTGCACTCTTACTCTTTCAAATTTTATGTTTCAACATAGGAAAGTCCACAAGACTGTATACTTTAATTATTCAGCTGCTTATGGAGACTCAGAAAACTACCAAAAAGTCCAGATCTTCATCAGAGGATTGTCACCGTTAGAAGAAGTGAATACGTTAAAGTTAAGAAGTTGTGTCTCAGCACATGGCACCATCTGATGGGGTGTTATTAAGCTGTTAGTTATGGAAATTTGCTGCATTCATTTGTTTATCTGGAATATGGGGAGATGTGTGTTGGTTTCACCGCCATGAATGGTCATGGTAGCTGAACTCTGTCTCACCTCTTCGTCAACAGGATTTTTAAAATAGTTTTTGCTCAGGTCATTGAGTTCACGTTTTCTTCTTGTGGAACGGGTGAAAGATTTCATCCCTGTCTTGAAGGAACCCTGATTAAGAGGATTACACGTATCTGTAGACAAGAACAAAATGATCAAAGCTGCAGAAAAGGTTTATTTTTCACTTGGGTTAGAGAGCTTTTTTTTAAGTACTTGTGTAGGGGTCTTTTTAGTCCTTCCATTTGTTTCTCTTGCACCATGAAAGACATCTTTATCTGCACACTGTAGAAAGAGGGGGCCTCATATGACTCTCTGTACTTATTGTCCATTTGCTCACAGCCTCTGACTATAAAATTGATGATGTAACTGTACAGTCGCGAGGAGGAACAGTAAACATTTGATTCTCCAATTAGAGCAAAGATAAACAAGACGGAGGGCTTGGACGAGCTTTCACCATAGAAACGATGCTCACCAGAAAAGGAGTCCTCCGGCCATTCAGTGAAAATCTTTGTCAAATGTTGGTCTGACTTTGATGTTGCTTATCTACAAATGAAGGGAAACGGAATTGTTTTCCGAAGGAAAAAAACATGTAAACCTTAAATGACCAGTCTGTTTTAGTTTTTGAACCGTTTTCACGATCCAATCAGAAATGTTTCCGCTCATGTCCCCGCTTCTTTGTGCGTGTCCCCAGTGGTCTGCAGGAAGGGTCTAGACAGCACCACGGTGTCCATCCACGACCAGGAGATCTACTGCAAGTCGTGCTACGGGAAGAAATACGGACCGAAAGGCTACGGCTATGGTCAGGGAGCGGGGACGCTCAACATGGACCGAGGCGAGCGGCTGGGAATCAAACCTGAACAGTAAGTTGGTCCATCGGTGCAGGATGATTACAGAATTCTAGGTTGTTCGTTTTCGTTACTAGGCCTCCTTTTGTCATTCTAGTTCAGTCCAGTTTTCAACTCCAACCTGACTCTTTGCAGTTTTCCACGTCGTTTCCAAGTTTTTGTATTTGAGCGTTCTAGGACCTAAGTGGAGCAGCAAGGTCGATGAGTTCTGTGGTCGTTATGTGGAACGACGCTTGTTAGATGTGGCTGCTGACTGAGACATGTCCTCATGCCAGCCGACTGGACGTTCTGCTCAAAAGCTAACCAAGCTCTCATGGAATCGGTCATTACGGCATTTCAAGCATATGTATCATTTTTTTTATGTAAACATCAGCCTCATACGCACCAATATGCCAGGTGATTAGTTACGAAAGAGTTGATTATGTAACCCAAAGAATCCTGTTCTCACTCTGCTCTCTGTCCTTCACAACAAAGACCCTCATTCAGTAATCTCTCAAACATTGGATCACGGTCCAAGAGTGGGGGAGGAGTCAGGTTTATGCTTTCATCTTAAAAAGAACAAACCAAAAAACATGTTTATTTCTCATTTTTGTCACAATCAGGGTGTCTGCATGTTCAAAGTCTTGTATAGACTTCATGTATCTAAAACAAGACCTTAAAATTTCTTAAATTCATTTTAAAAAAACAAGTTGGCCTTTAATAGATGGATCGCAGGTCTTACATTTAGTGTTGGCAGGTTTATTGAATCTTGTATTTTTATTTTATTTTTTCTTGCCGAGTGGCATTCAAACCCATTTGTGTTCTTGGCGTTTACTGTCCTTGTTAGCTAGCTAGCATTTTTTGCACTGATGGCTAAATGTAAAAATAGCGCTTAAAAAAAACAATCCTAAATTTGAGGTGGTGAAACCTCAAAATTGAGTAGAAACTAACAATTTCTCATCATCGGATTCTTAATGTTGAAAGCTTAACAGGGGAAAGAACCTGTTGACTGGGATTTCTTATTTCAATATGGGCCTTTTTTTTTTTCCTCCTGTAGGACTCAGACTCACAAACCTACAACCAACCCCAACCCGTCCAAATTTGCCCAGAAGTTCGGCGGGTCGGATAAGTGTGCGCGGTGCGGAGACTCGGTCTATGCAGCTGAGAAGATCATGGGGGCAGGCAAGGTGAGGCCACAGCAACCGCTAGCATCAGCTTTGCATGAACGATTCCATCTAATCTTTTCAAATCAAAATCCAATCTTACCAGTTGCATTGTGATTGCATCCAGTCCTTGAACTTTTTGACACCATCTGTATTTATTTGTAAAAAAAAAAAAGTGAACAATCTCAGAAGCTTGTCGCTGTGATGTACAGAAGTCTGAACTTCATGCAACAAAAATGAAGGTCTTGAAATATCTTACATTTTTAAATAAATTTTAGTTTTAAATATGTTAATCATAGATCACAGGAGGGCTCTGCTGACTTACAACAGATGAGGTCATGTTACTCATTAGAAAATTAATGAACCATATAAACAAATCCTCAGATAATAATTGTTTGCAGAGGGTGTTTTTTTGTTATTTAGAGGCAGACCAAAGTATTTCCTCTAGCTGATGGGCTGTGGCTTCACTAAAGAGCTGATTTATGGGCCATAATGTAACCAGAAGCAGAGTCGTTAATGGTTTTCCAGATGAGAGCAAAGCCTTCAGTTGGTGCTGAAACCCTAACCTGTAATTTCCAAAGTAATGAAGACACTGAGAGGAGCCCCAGGCTGCTGGGAAACTTTCCTTTATGGCTTTTAATGGAAGAATTTAGAGGTTTCAACCTACATCTGGAATCTGTTAATCACTTCTGTCTTACAAATCTATAAGGAGTTTTAAAGTTTTTTGTGTGTGTGTGTGTATGTGGACATTTTACACAAACCTCAATGAACTTTATTGTGAATCTGAAAGAAGAAAAAATGCAAATAATCTGAAAACTGAGGCAATCTAGCGTAAAGAAAATTAGAAAGTAGCGAGTGTCATATTAAAGTTTAACTCCATGTCGATTTACTTTTGCCAGTATCAGTAACAAATAGCTGTATCTGAATGTGTTTTAATCAAACTGGCAAGTTCAACTAATTGTACCATGTGCTGGACAGCATAATCATACTTTCCTCTGTAAATGTAAATGAAATTGAGCAGAAATTGAACTAAACTGTCACTTTCTCTCTATGTAGCCGTGGCACAAGAACTGTTTCCGTTGTGCAAAATGCGGCAAAAGCCTGGAGTCCACTACTCAGACTGAAAAAGACGGAGAAATTTACTGCAAAGGTAAGACGAAAATAAATGTGATGTCAGTCACTCATGTCGCTTTGCTTTTTTCTTATTTGAAAAATCTACTGTGATAATCTCATCCTTATGTAATAACCAGATGTCTCCAGAAGACAATTTTTTTGTAGTAGTATCAGAGTAGGTTTACCCTAATGCTTAATATAACTTTACTCGTAAAAACATAAAATGCTGCAGGCAGAATTAGCAACCTGCACATCCATCGTCAGTAAGATAAGACTACAGCTGGTTCTGGTTCTGTTCGTCACGTTCCTCTACTGATATCAGCCTTAGTTTTGTCGGTTTGGCTGGATTACATCAGCTTGGTCCTCATCCAGTCAGTGTTGTAGAAACAGCCATTATATTCGCTCTCCCTCACCACAATGACTCACAATGGTTTAGTTAAGCAGACGACACGCACAGGCGTCAGCGGATGGATGTTTGCTCCGTGTCAAAATGACGCCTGGCACCGATCAGCAGTGTCAGGCTCAAAGAGATGCAGCGATATCTACCATCTCCTAAAGAGAGCAGAAAAGTCTCATCTGGCACAATGCCGTCGAGATTTAAAGCAGGGTTTGGTTCGGAAACATGTCAACATTTCTTACCGTCTTCTGCAGCTTGCTACGCCAAGAACTTTGGCCCCAAAGGGTTCGGCTACGGCCAAGGAGCCGGCGCTCTGGTCCACGCTCAGTGATGCCACTCCCCTCCATCTCCAACTTGAATACTTTCTGACTGCTTAGTTTCCTGATGTCTTGTTGTGCTAAAAAAGATGTGCCATTCTAAATAAACACGTAAACCAAATCTTCACGTTTGACTGTATTTTATTATTAAAGCCATTAAAACTGAACCATGCCCATATGTTTACATCTGAAGCGGAGTTACAGTGGTATCTGAAGGTGGGCAGAGAGGCACTGGAGATGATTATGTGCTTTTTTTTTTCTTTTCTTCTTCTATTATCCCACATGGTGAGGTGAATGATCTGGGGTGGGCAGTAGAGTAGATAGACATTTGCAGCTGCTGGAAGATCTAGTGTAATATAAGATAGGTTTTGAGATCACAATGAACCTGAACGTGGTGAACCAATCAACCAGCATTCACTGCTGCCCACTTTAAAAAGAAAAAAAAAAAAAGGCATTGTATGATATGAGTCACATGTGAGGCATCCGTAGTGACATCGGTGATTAGCAACGGGCGTAGCTCTTCTTCTGCTGATGCGAAAGCCGCTTCGTCGAATATAACCTCTCTCTATCCTTTAAAACTATTGCATGAACACATCTCCGCTTTAGAAAAAAAAAAAAAAAAAATTGTATTTTCGCTTTACAAGTTTTACATCCAGTGGTATAACAAAAAGCCAGCAATGCTATGACAATAAAACAAAACAAAAACTGGAGTATGAAACATTCAAATATATTACACACCTGTTTGGGATGGCCCACCTGGGAGTCTGGCAACCTCCACTTACAACACACTGGATCTGAAGAATGACTCGAAAACCCCTCCCGAAAAACCGGATGAACATAATGCAGAAACATACTTGCAAATACTTTAACATTCACTATATACAGACAAACGTGGCTTTTGCTGGGCCGTCACCACGGTGACCATGATAAGGGGGGGTGGAGGGGGGTCCGTTGCGGGAGCCCAGCTGTCCTGTACATGCAGTGGAGAGGTTCCAGGTACTTAAAGGGGAACGGGGCGGGCTCAAATGCCTATAGACAGCAGCGTCGGACATCACTAAAAGCTACAGTCATACAACATGGATTATAGTAATTTGACCGTCTCCATTTTATGTTTAGGTCAACAAAAGGACAATAAAATCAAATCCCCAGGAGCACCTTCAACTAACACTGACAAAGGAGAAAACTGTTTATATACAAATGCACATTCTTTACAGCTCAGTCCCTCCTGCTGCTGCAGCAGGATCCTCTCTCATACACACACACGTACACACACACACGTACACACACACACGCAGGGGTTTCTGGGAAGAGAGGACCTTCCCTCCCCCCCAAGTTTCCCCTCTCTGCTAACAATGGAAGTGTTGGCGTGAAACTGCTGGACCTCCTGTTCAGTAACGGCCAAAAAAAAAAAAAAAAAAATTATATATTCATCGAACTAAAATAAAAATAATCAGTGCAACATCGTAGGCAGACAAAAAGACACAACAAATAAGACTTTATAGCTTTAAAACGAGAAATGTCTGGAATGAGGCTGTTCTGTAAACTTCTTACTTCCTCTTCTGTTTCTATGAATAAATACACTCACCGTACCTGGTTTGTTTTCTAGTTAACCTCTTTCATATCAGCTATACCTCTTTAAAATGCTCTCTTTCATATTGGAAAAAAAAAAAAGACAAAAATCCTACACAGCTAAATTGAAATGTAAAACCGATGGCGCTAGAACATAGTTACTTTCTCTATAAATAGCTTTTAAATAAATAGACCTGTATCACATTGTCTGGAGGATATCTGTGATGTTCAGCATGGTCGCTGCTGAGGGAGTCCCGGTTCTGCTTGGCCGCTGCACCGTTTCCAGGTTATGACAGTGGATGCAGCTTTATTTTAGCAGAAAGCGGTCGGGGTGGGCAGGGGAAAAAAAAACAAAAAACGATGGGATTCCTCCAACAGTTCCCTCCTGAAATCCCAACACATTTCATCTGATAAGTGCTGCAAGTCCTCGTCGGCTCTGTTCGTGATTCGGCACGGTGCAAAAATCAAGACCTTTAAAAAGACATTCCCTTATTCCTATCAAACCGAGAGTCCATTCACGTTTCCTTTCCCTAAAAAAATCGCTCCTTTAGGTTTTCCTGCCACACCGAAACATTCCCGATCCGATCATCATTCACAACATCAAAGACACACAACGAAAACAAGATATGAAGTACGGGGAGGGCAGACGGGAGTTTGAAGGGAGAATGCTGCCTCATCACCGAGTTTCACGTTTCCTGGACAGACAGACGAGCTTTTATTTTTGAACTCTCCCCGCTCTGTTTGTGTTTGGCAGCAACACACCGTCCAAAAGGCCCAGGAGAGAAGGTGGGGTTGGGGGGGAAAGTAGTAGCAGTAGTGAAAAAGGGCAGGAGTGATGACGATGCCCCGTAACTGCATGCTTGTCTTGTCTAATTCTCCAGTCTTAAATTAGCAAAGGAGAGGTGGTCCGCAAAAACAAGAGAAAACCGAAATGAACCGCATCGCTCAAAATTCCAGCGCCAAAGGGGGAGGGGATCAATACTTCCAAAAAGCTTCGTTTTCCACTCTTAGCTTCCCTCCCAGCCCCTCCGTTTTGTCTTCGTCCGCCACTTCCTTCTCTACACCAGCTGGTAGCCTGAGCCAGACGTCTGGTCGTAGTCTATTGTGTACTGAGTGGTCCAGTCCACAGTCACGGGCCGGATCAGGCCACAGCAGCGGATCTCGAAGAAATCTATGAGATTTCTGAAGCAGCCGTGGCTAGAGGGGGTCACAAAGAGAATGTCGCAATGGCCTAGTTAGCTTAAGATAGAACAGAATAATCAGCATGCAGCTGGAAAATAGTATTAGAGCACTTGCTTAAAACTAAAAGAAAGTGGCCCAACAACTGAACCCTGTGGCACACCTCCCCAGATGATATAAAAGAAAGAACATGACTTACTTGAATGGGCTCTCGATGGACGTGGCCGTAACCTTAAAGTGCTTGTATCTGCGAGCGTTCATCCGCTCGTTTGTGGTGATTCCAAGAGCCGCGATCTGCAGTCCACAGAGAGACATGGTCAGCTGACATTTCAGAGAAACACCAAACCCGTGTCCACTTCCATCGAGATGAAGCTGTACCTGGTAGAGCTGACACATGATCAGCACAGCCACCCACATGAAGTGGAAGACGCTGTTGAGGAACATCCAGAAGATCCAAGGCGAGCAAGAGGCAATCTGGGTCAGGTAGAGCCAGAAGCCATCCTTGGCATAACTGGTGGCGCAGTGCACCTTCCAGTCTGGTGGACGGGATCAGAAAGACAGGAGATAGAAGGACGTTTGAAATTAGGCATCCTGGGGATTTTATGCAGATAAAACAAAAAGTGTGCAGAGCTTACAGGAGATGCAGCCATATATCATCCAGCAGATCATACAAAGCAGAAAGAAGAGATAGCCCATGAAGTAGCGGTGATTCCCACTTCCTGTAAAGCACAAAACATTTGTCTTCATTTGTCTATATGTTTATTGATTGTTTATTCCTCCTACGGTACAAGTCGGTGCGGTTTGGTATGGTATGTTGTCCATGTTCTTAACAGAAGTGGCCAATTATACCACACCATTTCTGGTCCACCTTTAGTTGTAGGTCAATAGGACAATGGTTAGGAAAGGTTAGACTGGAACTACTGGCATCACTCAACACTGTCCATTGATTGAGAGACCAAATGTTTACAGAAACACTAAAGAAATCAAAGATAATTTCACAGATAAAGATATGGTTAAAGAATTTGAATGACAGGAAGTAATAATACTACCAATAGAACAGGATTGTTTCTGATCACTGTCAATATCATTGTTCCAAAATTGCAAGCAACTACCAAAACCACAATTATTTTTAATAATATTCAATGATCCCATAAGGTGAGGCGAGTGTAACACATGATGCTGCGTTATATCTCTGAAGAAGTTTTTAAAACAGGTTCTGATTACACAGATGGACCTGCTGTTGGTTCAGACAGTTTCCTCACTTTTAAACTATCATCCTGACCACAAGGTTAGAAAAAGGAAGTGTTCAAAGCCCCTCCTGCATAACTTCCTTTCACTATGGTCTCCAATTTGTTTTACAGACAACAATGACTCAGGTTTGCTTGTTTTTCCCTCCATTCTTTACATTGTTGGGTTTCTGTGGTCAATTGTAGCCAGTTTTCCCTTTTCCAGGATGTTTGCTTTAAGCCACCAGGGCCTGATGGAATACCACGAATGTTCAGATGCATGCTGGCTCTTAAAGAGTTAAGATGCTTACATCAGCTTCTCAATCTTGGATGTGGAACAAATCCTTGTAGCCGACTTACCCACACAGTTCCCCACCCAGGGACAGTGGTGGTCAAACTTGGCGATGCAGCGGTTGCACACGGCACAGTGTTTGGACCGGATGGGCTTCCGTATCTGAAAAAAAAAACACAACCAGATGAGATCTGCTTTCTTTTCTTAAGACCTGCAGGACAGAACAGCTTTCAAGGAGGAGCTTACCAAGCAGGTGCTGCAGAATATGCTTAGATCCAAGTTGCCTGTCTCAGCTAACTCCACAATTGTCTGAAGAAGAAGAAGAAAAGCTGAAAAGAAAATATTTACTCTATGGTCTACACTATACATTAGCAAGGATCACATTACGGTCTTGGACAAGGAAGAGGCACAAATCAGAATATTGTGGGCAATTTCTTCATCATCTTACATAAGCAATTAGCAATTTGTGCATCTACAAGAATTTAAAGCCTCGTTTCAATTCTGGATTGTCAAATGATCATGTTCCATGACAATCACAGGCAGAAAGCCACACAAGGCAAAACAATACAAGATTGCCATACTTCATTTAGACTTCCTGTTATCTAGTGAGAGTTTTGGCCTTTCTTATAGCCTACATGAACTGCGCAGTTCAAACTAGGCTATATTTTGCTTTCCTCATTCACAGGTTGTAGAATCTGGGGCCTGGTAAGAGACAGAGACCCTTCTCTCCTCTAATGCTTTGTGATAATGAGGGACAAAGAGGCCTAAAGCAGCAGGGCAGAAAATCTGAAACGTTATGCAACACTGCATTGCAACACGGAGAAAAATTCAAACTATAGCAGAGAGATTGGTGTTATATAATCACAGTGATTATGAAGCTGGAAGGGTGAGATACCTTTTTCTTCTGCTCCTCTGATGCCTTAATGATTCCAGGATCAGACTTCCAGGATTTGCCAAAGTTGTAGAACAAAGCCAGGGTGTTGACCAGGAACGGCATATGGACCGTGGCAAATGGAAGGTGTGCAGAGGGGTCAAGGCAGATATTGACAATATGGCTTTATTTGTTTTTTTTTTAATTCTCTATGATTTTTACAGTGAACTGACTCATGAGAACACCGAACTACTAATGTAAAATTGACTCAGTCGGTTTTACAATGGCCACGATTTATTCGTTTCTCTTGACTGAACCTATACGGTATTGTGACTTTAAAACGTACTTTTGCCACCAAAAATGGCCTTTAGCTATTGTCAAAGGCTTATTTTAACAATTAAAAAGTAATGATGCTAATGAAAATGCAGTTAACTGTTTCTCAATGACATGCTGAACTGTGTGAGGATGTTCAGTGAATACTAGAGGTGCACTGATAAATCAATGCCAACTTCAGTCTGGACATGTGCAGTCAACAACAGTCCCCCCCCCCAACTGCTCACGATGCTCAGATGGAGACACTCGGGTCTCCTCTCTCACAAACATTCCCAGTTAAACTGGAGGCACTGATGTATCCTGCACCAGCTCGCCCCAACTCCCCTGCCGAGAATTCATTTAGAAGCTATAAATTATGACTCATCCCACTACGGGAAAGAAACTTCTCCAGCTCCGTCAACAACTGGGATTTGTTTGCACAAGCTAGGATATGGAGTGAACGATGCCTGGACGTAGAAAGCCTGCGTCTGACGCTGTCAAGGCAGCCAGTCACTGACGTTACTCTAACCGAGGCGAAGGATGATGATCAGTTACTGCACTGTCAGCTATAACTGACTTGACGGTGAGTCAGCTGGATCCCACAGGAAAGCAGCCGGTAGACACTCAGGACAACGCCTTTGTGTGACAGACTTCTAAAGAAACATGCAGATGCGCAAACTGAATCACAATTATGAATCAACGATTCATATAAAACCAAAAGATTTCTGTGACGCTGCAGACATGAAAGGAAAACAGGAGCTTGATGTTATGAGGATGTGTCACCGTCTACCTGCTGTGTGAAAGAAGGCCCGAACTCGTCACCTTCAGATTGAAACATCCAGTTTAAGCAGAATTTGATTAGCCAAAGACTTTCTGGAGGGAAGTTTTTTCACCCGTTGAGATAAAAATCAAAGGTAAATATTGCTAATTGAAAATCGCATTTGATTAACTAAACAGCAGATATTTTTCTGGCATCTGGATGACTACTTCCTGTTGGACCATATGGCACTTTAAGGGGGACAACTACTAGATTAACGCCTGCTGGAGCTCACATGGCTATTTCTAATTACGTCTAAACTCTAGTTAAATGTTGACAAAATGATCTAGAACTTGGTGTATGCATCAGCCAGTTTCTTCATGTGACTGAACAGAACAGAGTAATATGCTAAGTGCTAATCTCTCAGTGAGGAGCTGTAAGCTAACACTGAAGCCAGCAAGAACCAACGGAACTGAAAGTCTGGGCTTAATAGGAACTCATTTCCACATGAGTAATGATCCGTGTGCAAGCGCTACGCCATGACCGACTTTCTCTCTTTACTGTCGACTGCACGTGTGCAAACATGTCTGCTCGAGAGCGTTTAAGCAACTCTAATAGATGTAATGTTAACGCACCGTTGACATGGCAAACATTCGCTTGTCTTCTTAGATCAGCTCAGGTCAACAGAGCAGTCGGCTCCCTCCCATGTTAAAGAAGCAATGAGGTGTAAAGAGAATGTTTCCCACAGCATTGATTCCCTTATCTCACCTGGTGTAATTAGAAGCTAGTGAACAGAAAGGCTAAAACTCGAGTACTGATCTGCTGTGGCCCGTTGCTGTGAGAACCGAACCCATGCTGCGCTCGGAGCACCGGTGTCAAGGATATCATTCCAGAACCAGTAAAACCAGGTGGAGTACATCCAGAACTTGGTCGCCAGGTAGATTCCCAGAGGCAGAGCGCTGTGCATGGAGTGGTCAAAGAAAGCCCTGCAGGGGGGAAAAATGGTTGGCCGTTAGCAGCAGCTTAGCTCTGATTGGACCAGAGCATGTTGGAGTTTTCTAAGTTTTTCACTTCCAAGTAAGTGCGTGCATGCGATAAGGATGATAAAAGAGGTTCCTTTATGCTCCTAAAAAGTTAACTTTAAACTAAAGTGTGGAATTTATTTTAATTTTACATTTTTTTTAAGCTGGGACATACTTGGAGAGGAACTGCACGGCGACCCAGACGCCAGCGTACATGATGCCCTTGATCAGCCAAGAGTCGACGTCCAGGTCAGCGATGAAACCCACCAGCCAGATGACGACGAATGGAGTTCCCAGCATCACTTTCTGCCTGAACTCCTGATTTACAAAGGAAAACACAAACATTTTAAACAAACCAAACCAAGTTGTAAAGTAAAAGTATCAACATTAATGGAAATGAGTTTGTTTCCAGCCTGACAGCAACGTCCAGCAATGTTGACCACAAATGAGCTGAGACACATGTCCAGATTGTACCATATAAATATGAGCTGAAGGCAACTAAACTTAGTGACAGAAAGACTCTTTCAAAGATAAAAATCTGCTTTAAACAGCAAAGTCAGCATATAGTCTTGTTATTTATTGCATGAGTACAGAGTGAGTCTAGATTTTAGCGAAACTAAATGCAGTAAACGGAAAAAATTGGGAGATATTTGCAGCGCTTCTACCTGTCCTCTGTGACGACTCGACAACAACACTGGTTTCTCCAACTGTGGGTGACTGGCTGATATTTGAGTGTGAAATCGAACTCATCTACTTCTGCAAAGGTCTGAAAATCTATCACTCTGACAAAAACCAGAGAAAAGTCCTCAGTTTTTAAATATATTTTCAAAAAAATCTGTTTTTGGCCCCAATAAATTACAGGATCAGAGATCCGCTCATGAACTAGGATAAAACTGAAAGTTTTCTGTATCTTTTTTCTGTTAATTTAATATGTTAATAAAAACTTCAGTCTGTAGAAACATCATTTAATTCCTTGTAGTTTGATGCAATCTTTTTAGTTTAATTCAATAAAAAAAGAAAAAAAGCAGTTAGGCTGTTAAAAAATTAGTCCAAAACACAAACTCTTTTTAATCAGACTTTTTGAGTTTTCATTATTATCAATAACATACCACAGAAGCCATTTCTCTAGAATACACAGAAGTTGCTGTTCTACAATAATACACTGCTCTATCACAACTAAATATGACAGGAACATTCAGCAGTCTCAACCTGGAATCATTTATTAAGACATAAAAGAAATTTAATGAATCAGTTCTGGGACTACTGTAGTTATCACATTACTGATAACTACCGTAATGTGAATGTAGCTAAAAGCCAGGCGCGTTGCAGGAATCTAAAACTACTAAAGCAAATTTATGCGGATAATGGAAAGCGAGCTAATTTACCTTCATGAGCTAACATTCCAACAGGTAAGCAGGGAGACAAATCATTTCAGGAGAATTAATAAAGATAATAGTTGAAGCTTTGAGAGACAGTCTGGGGTGTGTTCTAGGCTCGTCCGTCCATTCATGTTAAGTTTAATGATCAAACATCAAATTCAGGCATGTTTAAGCGCTGCTATAGGATTTGCTCCGTAATAAAACAAATGGAAGGAACCACCCAAGGTGATCCGAACAAAGACAACAGACTGGGACACTCCTGGCTGTTCTGTTCTGACTTCCTTTAGAAGCCTTTCTGAAAGGAGATGTTTCTGGACAACAGGAAGCAGCTGTCTGACCAGCCTGGGATGACGGTAAATATCTCTGAATATTGTCATCCCAGCGGCCGTGTTCACTCTTAATCAGAGATTATTGAGGCTTCTGATAAACGGAACAGCTACAATAAAATGTGTACCTTGTCCATCTTCAGTCTTTTCAGATATGACGGGCTGTCGTAACCTTTGGCCTGCCGCGCTTCCTGTAAGTGATTGATCATCCAGACATTCTTCCTTTGCTTGGCGAGGTCCAGAGGTGTTTCGCCCTGAAGGTGGGAGAAAGAGCAGTCAGTACAGAACATGGTTCTGGTTCAGGGCTGAATGGTCCAGGAAGAGTCATTATTCTGTCAAGTAAAGTATTTTGCTCACAGGAATATGTTATTACCTAAATATTGGGGGCAGGAGGAGAATTGTGGCGTTTAAATAACCTAAAATTATTAAAAAATGTAATTTAAGTCCATGATTAGATATCCAAACTTTCCATTCCACACAGAGGAATATATTACAAGCACTTATTTCTGATTATTTTGACTATTAAGCTAATCGAAAACACCTAATTTTGTTTCTTAAAAAATGTAAACTTCGCGTTTAAAAAAACAGTCTATGTAGGGTGGGCTTAACCAAAGTCTACGCCTCAAGAATTCTCTCCTAGTTCCTGAATGACCTTCTGAGTCAGCGGCTATCTTGTTGTTTTTCACCGCACTTTTTCCTTCCACTAAACATCTAATTGAAAATGCATGGAATCCAACATTTTAACAACCTGTAGTCAATTTCTGCATAAAATATATATTTTTTTTTCTTCCAAATTAGTCTTACACTGTTATTTTCTCAGAAAGTTAGGGTTCATATTAGCTGAAATAAATCAGAATGTAATGACTTTTGTCCATTTAATTCCTGAACTGAATGAATTTCTTGATAAATTTTACACTGACAGCTGTGTAAACGAAGGGGAACGCATCACCTTGATGTTCTGCGCGTCGACGTTGGCGTTGGCGTCCAGCAGCAGGCTGATGACGGTGGTGTTGCCGGCCAGCACGGCCCAGTGCAGCGCCGTATTCTTGTGATACTTGTCGCCCAGATTGACCGACACGTTAAAGGTCAGCAGCAGCCGGGTGGGATCGACGCTGGAACGAAGGGAAGAGAATAGGGTCAATAATAGAAGAAATCCTACCTGGTAAAGATGGTCATCTATGTAGTGTTTTCTGAAAACTACAAGTGTTGTAGCTTAGCTGGGCTTTTACGTGCCGAATTGTATTGTTTTTTTACGTTCCGAATGGTTTTCCCACTGTGATAATGTACAGTAATGTCACAAAAACACGCCACTGTACAAACATACACACCTGTGTGTCCTGTAAGCTGCCCACATGAGAGGAGTCATGCCGTTCTGATCCATCATATCCACATCCTGCCACAAAAAAAATAGAATCACTGGAAGAGGATGCAGAATAACAGGCTGAAAAGTGAAGCAATGGGCGCCCCCTGATGGAGAACACTGGTAAAAAAATTATTTAAAGAAATACTTTTTTTTTTCCTTTCCTGAAAAAAAATATGCATCATATTTTATACAAGATTATTTCAAATAACGTCTGTGTCTGCCTTCACATTTATTGTTAAACCACTGATTCATTTGTTATAAAGATGCAGCACCTTGTTGTTTTCCATCATCCTTTATTTGCAGTTGCACAGGAGACGACGTCACACTGTGTGTATTAAGAGGTTTATATTTTTCATGCTCTGATGTAAAAACAGATTTCAGCTATTACTTTTCAAAAAAGGAAAACACAATTACAGAGTTGATATTTTAAACCAGGGTTTAAAATGGGCTTTTTAATGGCTAATATTAGCATCAGAATTGCTAGCACAGTTAGCACTATTAGCAGCAGGTTCTGCATGTTTTTGCAGCTACATTTCCTACTTCAGAATGTTTCAAGTTGCCTGTTATTTACTGCACTCTGAATGATCACGTTTGTAGATAATATTTTTCCTTTGAATAGACCAAAAATGTATAAGAAGATAAATCTGCACGCATTTTTATTAGTTTACACTAAACTGAACCATTTTTGAGTCTTCTTTTCTCAGTAGCAGGAGTGTTCTTGCCAAAGGCATCTAGCAGTACTTATGTATGGTGCAACTGCTAATTGGACCACAGTTATTTTTAAGAGTTTGTGATGGGTCAATCACTGATCATGAAGTCAGTCAGATTGGTAAGTAGTTGTTTCTTTGTTCTTCCTACCTGTCCTTTGGCGATGAGGTATGCCACAATAGAAGTGTGGCCGAACTGGGCGGCCAGATGAACACAACTGCAACCTTCCCCGTCGATCAAAGACGGGTCTGCACCATACTTCATGAGCTGCACCACCATGGACAGATGGCCTTGTCTGTAGGACAAAGAAATGTACAAGACTTTAAAACGCATGCAGATAATTCTTCTACACAATCCACTGATAGGAGGGCAGAAAAATGTCACATACTTGTGACCAGCATGTGACAAACTAATGTATCAGTTGTGGCATTAGGATGATGCAACGTTAGGAGTTTGGGTTTAAACCTGTCTGCCCAGTGAGAGTCCAACTGGTGTTGGAAATGCTCTATCATACACCAGACCATAAAATAGTGCACAACTATTGTGCTGTATCACTCAGTGGAGACAAAGGATCATGACAGAGACGTAAAACAGAAACCTGAACAAAACTGAAATTCTTAGGGTACTTTTGTGGCTCCTGGCAGCAGTTGTGTGCTTCTTGCATAGCGTATGTCTTTCTAGCTAGATAGCAAGCAGCTTGTTGCCTGATTGAAAAGTCCCACAAGAAAAAAAAAAAAACATACAGAACATATGAGATGAAATAGTGGTGACATGACAAAAATTCAAGACCTGTGATTAGTGTATTTAAGGCCAACTTGCATTTTCTTTAATGCATTCAAGACATTCTAAGGCCTTAATTTTAAATTAATTAATTTAAGACTTTAAAAAAAAAAAAAAAAAAACGTTCCCGAACAGTTGTTAGGGGCTTTTGAAAGGTCACTGGCAGCTGGTGTTGGTGGCAAGGGGGTGAAACCGGACCCTTCGGTGTCTAAAGCTGTGATAGTGCAGATGTCTGGTGTTGAATGGATACATCAATAATTCAGGAAGAGGGAATGCAATGCCACCTGTGTGCTTTGGGTGCAACGCGTGTGACCTTCCACACAATGAGGACTCGGTGGATATTACAGAAAGAAACAAGGAAGGAAGTGATTTTAGTGCATGAAGACATGATTTTATAGTCCTAATAGCGACGAAAATAAGTAAAAAATTTATGATTTAGAAACTGGCATCAGTTTCTAAATCCTTACCTTTTTATATAAGATAATTAAGTTTTGGACATATTTTAATATTTCAACTTCATTCCTTAAAATGTATGAATTTACAACATACATACCTGAAAAGGGAAATATAACAAACAGAAAGACTTCTGACACCAACTTTTATTTCTATGTGTTGGAAAACATTAACCTTAAAGGGCAGCACTGGTTAGCAGTGTTGAGGTATTCCAAGGTTTTAACTGTCCTTTTTCCATAACCAATAAAATTTCCCGTCAAACCTTTATTGCAGTATAAAGTCCTTTTAACAGGATGCCAGAGGATATGCTGCGGTGACCACACTATTGTCAAAGCATCCAGAAACAAAGTGCTGGCCCTTCCCTTACATCAGGCGTCGGCAACCTTTTCAGTTCAAAGATACCTTTTATGCTAGCACAATAAAATACAATATGTCTAGAACCACAAAATCATCTTAACCCTCTAGAAACAGTCCTAGAAAACAGAGTGGAGAACCTCAAGCTGCCTGTTTGATTGGGCTGACCTCATCAATTTGACAATCTAGAAACTACTTCTACAAATGAGGTAGACGTAGGAAGTACCTATGAGTCCTGCCATGGGAACATTTATTAAAGTCTAATTTACTTTTTATAGTGAATTTAAGGAATTGTAAGGCCTTAATTTTATATATTTTTAAGTATCCTTTTAACTCATTAGTAATCAATGTGTGTCATCCCGTCTCCAGGTTATTTATCTCTAGAATATCCAAACTAACCGGAGTTACAAAATAGGTGGAATAATGGCGTTAAATAATAAATTGTTTTGTTTTGTTCCTCTTTGAGAATTATCTCAACCTCAGTCAAACTGGATGGGATTTGTCAAGTACAGGAGACTCAACCACAAGAAGTAAATTTCAGTTTTAAGACGTGTGAATCACAGGACAATTCTTTGGTTCTTAAATATCCATGTTCTTGTCCTGCTACAGTAAAAATAAAATCCAGTGTGTTTAAACTCAATCATACGAAGTGATTTAATGTAGACAGGTTAGATCAGGGAGATGTGTGTCACCTTGTGGCCCAGTGCAAAGGTGTAGAGTTGAGGTCTCCACCCAGCTGGTCAACTATGGCCCCCTTTGATATATAGTACCTGCACACAAACACAACACACTGTGTGAAATATGCCACTTTGTCTATTTTCTCATCTTACCAGTGTTTCAACTCTATAAACAGAGAAAACAACAAGTGTAGCTTATTCCTCTCACAGGAAATTACACCTAAGCTATTGCATGCACAAGATGTTCTGCTCCGACTTACTTCACCAAGTCTATCCTGTTGTTGATGGCGGCCCAGTGGAGGAGCGTTACGTTTTCTTTGTCTGGCTGCCGAACGTCAAAGCCCGCCTCCACCAGCTCTCTGCAGCGCTCGAAGATGCCGTACCTGCAGCACAAGCGGGAGCACAATCAGACACTAGTTGGGTTTCTATTGACTATAGAATTGCGCAATTTGACATTTCGAAAACAAATTTGCTTCATGAAAACACGGCAATTTGACATTAAAAACCCCCTCATTTTTCAATAAAATGTTTTGGCGCTGGGATGAGGTGGTTTGTTTGGCCGTATCCAAACTGGTTTACTTCACAAAAATGGAATGGAAATACTTCTTACGCATCACACAAGTCACATGATCGACAACGGGAAGCTACTACCGACGTAAACTCCAAAGAAAAAGACAACAAGAACTAGCTGCAGGATCATGGACTAGCATGTTTTATAACGTGAACAAAGTTATTCACATGTGATTTTATCTGCGTTTCTTTTTTTAATGGAAACACCACAATCTCAACACTATTGGGCTTTTTTTTTCCACCACTCGTGGACTATTGACAAAGTTTTGTGCACCTTTGTAATATGATCAGGTTTAAACGACTCAAATTCATTCATGTGGATAAACCCCACAAGACATTCTGGAAAGTGGTTCCTTACATTAAGAACAAAACAGTTTGTCATTTTCCTCATAATTTCTCATACAAACAAAGTTCCGTCAGTAACGACTACCCTCATTAAGCCACTTGTCAGTGAGAAAGGAGCGGCAGTCAATTTCCCCTGACACAGACAAATCTTGAGCTCACTGTGTGGCTTTGACGATATCCCAGGTGCTGTAGTCATCCACATGGTTTTTCCGGCTGACGTTCTCGCTGTAACCATGGCTGTAGTGACTCTGGGGTTTGATTTCCTGGGAGATCAGAGGAAAAGAGAGAAAAGGGGAAAAAAAGCCATGTTAGGTTGAGAGAGAATCATGGAGGAGACTGTTGAGTGGACCGTGTGTTCAGAAGAAGAGAAGTCAAAAAATGTCATCGCTAAAGATGCTGACTGTTCACAGAGTGGTGTATTAAAGCATATTCAAAGAAAGTTGAGCGGAAGGAAAATCTGCACCATCAACGGGGATAAACACAGTCTTGAGAATTTTACTAAATTATAAATTAACAGTAATTACTGAGACGAACAATAATATTGTTGTTTTTGAGAACATTTTCAAGAAACATATTGATAATAACATAATAATCCGAGTTTGCTCTCTCAAAAGAATTTTCTTTTTTTTTGTAAAGAACATTCAATACTGGAACTGGAAAAAATAGCCAATATAAAAACACAAATTCAAAAACAATGAATAAAATGGAAAGAAAAACCACAACTGAAGCAATAAATAAAACAAATAATCATCTCTCTGAAAACAAAACTGCTTTTCAAAAAATATTAATCATGAGAATGGAAATGGTCAAGCACATTTTAATTTATAACATGACTAATTGCTCATTGTGAAAGGCTTATTCTAGAACTGCAGAAAAAAAAGGCTTGAATGAAAACTTTTTAAACGCAAAATGAGGAATGAGCCAGTTTTTTAAATCCAATTTATCTTCAGAATAATCTATAGATTAATCGATAACTAAAATGATGTTCAGTTGCAGCATACTTTTAAGCGCGACTCTGGTTTTATTTGCAGGGGACGTCTGCGACTGTAAGCCTTCCAACTCATCTGGAGACTCAGTTAAGGGGAACAAATGTCTTTCTGCTTCCTCTGAGCTTCTAGAGCAGAAAGAATCTGTTTTTGCTTTAGCGATTATTATTCAGCCGCTTTCTCAGTTCCTTCCTTCCTGTAGAGAGAAACTCTGAGCTCTTTTTTGATCCACCTTCTGCCCTCCGCCACCTGAAGAGCTGAGGATTGCATTTGTCGCCATGGTGATGTCACCTGGGGGCATTTCTTTTCTTTTCTTTTTTACTTATTTTGATGGTGTTACTTTACGTTACGTTCAGGTTGGAGCATCGTCTTCAAGCTGGGCCTCGGCAGAGAGGCTCGGTGAGGCGTGAGGCTGCTGTTCCCCAGGAGTCCCGGCTCACGTGTTTATGACTAAATACGATTCCTACAACTGTATATCACACTCAGAGTTACTGTAGTCGGGAGAATCAGCATCGGCTGAAGATTCTCACTGAACTTGGCTGCCTCCCGGCCATTGTTTAGCTGCTGCCGGCTGTGGCCATGGCTCACAATCCAATTCAGCCTGAAATTAGTGTCATTTCAGGAGGCTAATTCAATACTGAAGAGCAGCTACAGCGCAGTGATTGGAGGGAGAGAGGGAGAGCGGATGATGAGGATGATTCACAGTAGAAGAATCAAGTGACTGAGCACCGGTCTGCCTTTGTTTTCATTTTATAACCAAGCGGGCTAAACGCTTTCTCGCTCACGTTTAAATTCTTTCTACAGTCACAGAAAGAATTGTTGGAGTGGCTGTTACACTGCAGCAAAAGCAAATGAGGTGGATTAGCACTGGTTGCCAACAATGAATGGTTTCATTCAGGGTGTGGTGCTGTGGACGATCAGCGCAGCAGGATCGTCTCTGCTGCGCTGAAGTTTAGCTGTTAGCATGCTATCAGTCTTCAATCAGAGGCCTCTGCAAATTAGTCACCACACTGACTGCTACTGGCCCATAGCATCATCGTCCACAACGGCTTTTTGTGTGATATGAGTTATGACGACATGTCCTGTCTGGGTAACTGAAATTGATAAAGAATATGTTAGGTTGTTATGGTTCCTTTTCATTTTTCATATGAGAATTAAACACCTTCTCAGAATCCAATTTTCTGAATTCTCCATCCGTTTTTTGTTTTGGTTTTTTTTGCATATTTCCAAACTACAAAAATAAGTATTGACAAGTAGTTTAACATCACTTTTTCTATCGAGATCTGGACTTTAATATGAAATCTTCTATTGGTTTTGAGATGCTATGCAGATTAAAATACGCAACCAAAACATACAGGCATTTACAGTTTAGTTTTCAGTTATTCTGATAAATTTCTTATACAATGAATTCTGGGTTGATAGTTTTACAGTTTTCTCCACTGTTTGTTCAATCAATACCAATAAATTTAAAATAAATCTTTTAACAAATTACTTTGTGAAAACATTACACCATAAAAGCTGACACGGTTTTCTAACAGTGCAAGATAGGAAATAACTCCCAACATCCTGTTGTGCTCTTCCAAAAACAAGAAACATTGGTATCAACAACAGAAAGCATGATCAGAGCATCTGCAACCTATACAGAAAATCTATAGATATTCATAGACATTCACCAGACCTATTACTAATATACAGCTCTAAAATTCAGAAAAACTAACTGGAGCACAGCTACGAATAGTTTATGAAATTGTGTTAAATTACAAATAGAAGCCATAACTAAAATACATCCAGGTATCCAGTTTGTACAAAATGCCAGAAATCATCCATCTGAAGCCATCTTTACTGAGTAAATTAACCCATATGGCAGCATATGGCATGAACGACAAAATGCCACCATGAATCATTTCCAGTGCTCGCTGTCGAAGGCGATACCAGGATCTAAACCGGGCCGCTCGGCCTGCTGGCCACAAACCAAGTAGTGAAACAGGACTGCTGCTAGAAGGGCATGCCAACTACCGCTGAAGGAAACTACAAACAGACACGCTGTGACTGAAATCCCTGCCAAGCAAAAAGAGCAAATAATAAGCAGTGTACAGACAAAGTGATAAAACAGCATCGAGATTTGAGAATTAATACCCATCTGAGGTCAAATATATAAATAACCACCGAAATGTTGTAAGGAGCGAGATTGAAAATAGTTTGAATTTACAACAATTTGTCTTTTTCCAATATGTGCGATATTCGATAAGGGGCTTTGACCGTAAATGATATGAATAAAGTAATAAATTAATCTTTCTGTTGATCACTGGGTTTGTTCAGAACAATCAGAACATTGTACTTGTTGTCAGGTTAAAATATATATGCATGAAATAAATAAAATCAGAAATGGTCAAAATTATATCAGTCACAACATTGTCGCTAATCACATTCACTCTTTCACCAGATCAGTGTTCTCTGCTGACCAGGGCTTCTTCTCAGCAGCACGACAAAGCAAAAACTCTTTTAACAATGCTGCATGTTCTACAGATTTCACTTCACCTTGGCATCCCTGGATCGTGATGGAAAACCAAGGAAGATCCAAGGAGGCCAAACCTCAGAGCTTAACGCCAAACCTCCATAGCTTCACATGGTCTTTGGCAGAGAAGGGAATGTTAAACAGGTGGCCACAATAATGCAAAGCCTCATTATATGCACGCATTTATTTGTGCACTGCGAATTGGAGCTCGCGCGACAGAATCAGACATATTTACAACAGTGTTATCCAAAAGAATAAGTGCTAGTTTTGAGAAATATTAAAACGTATAAATTGTTGCCTAGTAAGTCATTTTGTCTTCCCTTTCCAGCGTGTTTAGTATATCATGGTTTTGCCTAGTCGCTTTGTAGACTACTGTTCATTTGACTGTCATTTCTACATCCCAACCAGCGGTAAAAGCAGCAGCCAGGACTGTCACTTTAGCCACAGAGCTAACCTCCTATGACAAGAAGGATTAACCCTTAACGTTTTCCGTCGCTTCCTTTATTGTTCAGCTTAGCTCGGGGTCACACAAACACACACTTCCCCTCGTAACAACATTTCTCAACGTTAACATCCACACCAACATCTGCCCAGCGGTTGCTGGCTGGGCAGCAAGAGAAGGGGGGCTAGCGTTAGCGATTAGCATCGCTAGGCTAGCTGACACCACCCCCCCCTCACCCGCCTCCATCGGTGGTAATGCAGGGGGCATTCGGAGTTTCCAACAAAGGCGCAGAAAAACAGCGAGCGGCACCGGGACAAACCGGTAGAACCCGTTTTGGGTGTGTTCATAGCACCGTGCGAAGGCGTAGAGCTCCCGGAGCTTACCTCGGGATGGAGAATAGGGACGCAGCCAGCTTCTTTCTCATATTCCTCCATAGCGTCGGCCATCTTGGTGGTGACAGTCGCGGAGCATTGTGGGAAACAAGAAGCGGTTTCGGGGGGGAAAACAAACACGGGGGCAAAGGGGGCTGTCAAAAACAAATTAGATCAGGGCTGCGCCTTGGCAGAGCAGCACTGATTATAACTCTGAATGTGATGCACCCCCTTCCACCTCAGTTTAAGTTAAAGGGAAAGTTTTTATATTTTAAAAGGAGATTGTGTTAAAAAATAATATCAGCAATGGTTCTTTTACCTGTGGCCGAGAGATGTAGATGTCACACTGGGTTTTTACAAGCTTTAATAAATCATTGGATGCTAAGAGCTAGTCACACCCTTTCTGTTTTAGATGTTTTGTTTTAAAATTTGAGGCAAACATTTTTGAAAATTTTAATTTTTCTGTGATGAGGCACCCTGGATGTCATAGAGGAAATAAAAATATCCAGAAACTGCTACTGATGCAGCACTGCAAAGTGCATTTTTGTCGTTAATTTCCATGTTGGATTTGAATACAGGGCTTGGGTCTCTCCACATAGTTATGTCCACGGGATAAAACACAGCCCCTTTGCATTTATCTCCATCTAGCAATTGTGCGTCCCCTTTAAGATGCCACCCTGGGCCACTGCCTACATGGCCCTTATCAAAAACCGCTACTGCATTGCCAACAAAATATACTTTGTAAAAAGACATTAGAACAGCACCTGGGTTTTTATTTTCAACTTTGGAGTTCTAGCAGCTTATACCTGATTAAATCCTTAACAAACGTACAACTATACATCTATGAATATCTTAATTGAAAGTGACTTTTCACCCATTTTGATCTTTTTTTGATCAATATAAAATTGACAGTGACACGTCATTCTATGGGTAGCAAACTGTAGCCAAATTGAGTTGGTTTTACTATTAGCTTTTGTGTTTTTTTTTAATAAAATATCATTTTCTAAAGAGTGATTTAATCAGATTTATGTCTGAGCATACAGATGCCAGCGTATTTGCAAGTGTTTGATACAGGCTGGAAACCAATCCGAACACAAATAAACTGATAAACTTGGTCAAACAAAAAAATATTACAAGTCTCATAGCATAGCTAGATTGTTTCAGCTTCTCTGCGCTCTGAGGCATCTGGGATAGATTGTATTATGGAGGAATCAGTATTTCTTATGTTTTCTGGAAGAAACATGCACTGTATGCTGTTGATGGAAGCCAGTGGGATCATCCAGGCCGTTGGCAACAACTAATTTAAAAACTTAGCTCCTGGATGGTATGAAATTGACTATTTATAGTTCTTATAATACATATGATGAGATATGTGTACAACTTGTGCTGCCTCCATAACTTTTACAGGAGTGACATAATATACAATCAGAGATATTAAGCTTTACAAAAACAGACCTGAGAACAAAGATGACCTCTGCACTGCTCTGTCTTTAGAAACTGGATTTGACCGCATGTATTTGGACTACGATTGCTTGTTTTGTAAAGTGCCTTAACATTGGTGGTTGTTGTGAATTGCCAAATATGAATAAACTAGATCAGTGTAACCTGTTTTCAGTGCGTCGTAAAAATATTTAGATGAGTAAAACAACAGGCATGTATAGAAAATAATTTTTAAAAATCGTGCAAGACATCCTTATGTATTTCTAATGTCTAGATAATGGCTGCAGTTTCATATTTCTGCCCCTAGGTGGCCACCACGAACAGGGTTAAGCAGTGAGAAGGCAATACCTGCAGCGGCCGCGAGATGTCCTCATTTACTAAATTATGAGCAGCACCTCTACCCTGAGGTGGTTGGGCATATTAAAAATGTCTGATCTTACTTTATTTTATAAGTAAAAGGAAAAAAACAACGACGATTTCTAAGATGATACCCGAAAATTCATGTGATTTAATTAATCTGAACCTGAATGAACCACAATTATCATGCAGTGATCGTTTATTTCCCCAAACCTATACAAACAGCCAAATATCAATGTGACCAAGTTGTTGTTTGTATCTTTTTTTATTTAAATAAAAAAAATTACTTACATATTTGACGTATTTATTTAGAGTAAGGCAATTATTATCTGCTGACAATTAAAAAACAAACAAACTATCTTAACGGTGTCCAGGCTGACATGAACGGTCACGTGCGTGGCTTGTGCTGCCAGGAAAATCAGACGATCGCCGAGTAAGAAGAACAAGGGATATTCCGCCTTGCTCTGCTAAATTTCAACATAAATGACACGCGCGGAAGGGTGTGAACCCTTCAAAATAAAGTCCGTCTGAAAAGAATGCAGCGTTTACAATTTACACAGTTTAACGAGGATTCATTCGGCCTTTGAGATAATCAAATGCTGGAGCGTCTTCCTGTCGACAGCATCACTCGCAACCTTTTGGATGTGACTCTGAGTGACACCTGGATGACGTCACATTTATTTTCTCCTTTAAAATAAAAGTTTTGTTTTTCTTTTATTGGACGGAATTTGAATTGAAGGGTCTCACGTCCTTAAATTGACCGTTTTCAATTGAAAAAACAAGATGGTTACACAAACAAAACTAGCATCAGACTGTCTGGTGTTAGTCTAATGCATTTTTAGACTAACACAATTCAACTTAATTCAAACCAGATAGAAAAATGTAATTGTATTTTAAGTAGTTTTAGTGTGAAGTATCAGAATTATGAATATATTACAGTATGTAAAAATTATTCATAAAAACGAGCCGGGATTTCCCGTTTCCAACCACTCTTACGCCGCTTTCCAAAGTCAACTTGACACTCACAACATGGCGGTTCACTGGCGTATCCTTCCCCTCGTTCAATGTGTGGTTTTAAAGTGAAATTTTAGCCGGAAGTGACGTACCCTTCAACAGCTTGACTGCCCCAGCCGTTGACAGAACAATTCCGATTGTCTGGTTGCTTTCAACGACACCGAATTGGTTGAGAAATGGACAGCAAGGAACTGGGGAGGAGAGAAATCGTGAAATTCAATTTGAACTTTTGCTAACTTTAATCTTTTAGTGAAGCGTCGTCGTCACGCCGAAGGACGGCGCGTATAACATCCTCGCGCCAACCACTGAATGCCAAGGGACATTAATAAACATTAAGCGTCGTGAGCTAACAGTTAGCAGGCAGAAACACGACGGAGAGGACTGCGTTACTGTTTACCTCCTCCCAGCCGGTCACGCAGCCATAAAGGAGAACCCCCAAAGCCTGAAGCAGAGGTGAGTGCCATGTAAACAAATAGGCAGAAAAAAACAACAACCATCCCCCCCAGCATTTATTTCTATTTTAATCTTTTTTCTACCCCTGCTTGTTGTTTAGCGCGACTTCCCTAATTGCTAATTCTCTGTGTGTCTGCGGGGGTGACAGACGGACGCCGCAGTCGAGCAATGCGTATTATTATGTAATAAATCAGGATTAGCGGGTCTGGGGTGAGCTCGGAGCGGCAGGTTCATCCCCGTGCGCTTCCCGTTGCTTTTGTCTCCCGAGTCTGTCCCACGGTGAGTTCGGAGGTGAACAGTTCGAATTGCTTCTGCTTCTGTGCTTCACGTCCCTCCCTCCCTTCCAGTCTCATTGTCTCCCTACAGCCTCCCCAGTCCCAGTGTGCAGCTACCACTTTCACCCGGAGTACAAATCTGAGACTGATGGGGGGAGACCGCTTCCTGTTGCCTACCTGGTATCAGGTGGCAAATTGCTGCCTGACACCAGCCTGTGGTGAAACCTAGCTTCAGCCTTACCACACTGTTCCCCTTTAACTTGTCTGCATTTTATTACCTGTCAGGCACACATTTTAATGGGTTAAGTTGTGGTGAAGGATTATGTTTTATTTGATTCAATTTATCTAGGGCAACTAAATGCCTTCTGAAGTTACGTAAATTTAAATCTTGATGATGAAACAAAATGAATAAAGGTCAGTACTCCGAGAAATTAGTTGTTAGAGGCTGAAAAAGACTTGACACCGCGGTACAAAAACAATCTAAAACAGCCTGAGGTGGATCTCGGCAGTATGGCTTAATAAATAAAATTTCAGATATTTTTTTTAAACCAGATCCAATTTTTTTTCTCTTTTTATTTAATTTTTTTTTTAAATAAATGATAGAAAATATACAAAAAATGGCTCTTATTTTTGTCATTCCTTCTGTGATTTCACCAAAATTCAAAGTATAAAAAAAAAAGCACAACAAAAACTTTTGTACAAGATGGTCCCTTGTGAAAAAAAAAAAATCCAGATTATCCTCAAAACCGGAAAATTTTTATTTATTGTTATAATCAATTTATCACCCTGCCGTAGTCTATGATAAAATCATTTAGCTCAGAACATCTTCATGGCCTAGTCAAAGTCCAGGTAAATTTAACATTGAGACAGTTCAATCTGAATCAGGCTGAGCTAACTTGCTGAAAATGAATCAAATCCATCAACGTAAAAATTTTCCTTGTGGGAAAAAAGGAAATGTCACGGTAATTTAGATAAGAAGTTTCCACTGTTTTGCCCGTGCCCGACTCTTGTCTTTTGAAATCTTGTCGAACATTTCCATATTTACATTAGCTGCTTGTTTGCGCATGTAAAACCAAAACGGGTCATCCCAGAATGAACTTCTGTTTGTTGGCAGAGAGCAACAGAAGGGCACAAGAGCCCTTTTGCTCATTTGCAAGTTAAATGCATTTTCCACTCAGCCCTCGTCAGAGCCGCGGCGCCGCCCCGCTGCCGCACACTTAGCTTCGAATTTGAATCGAGTCTGCATTTTGGAGCAGCAGAGAAGCTGATGTTCGAAGAAAATGTTTCGCTGTGGTGTGAGTAAAAATGGGCTAACTAGAGAGGAAAGACAGCAGACGTGCTCACTTCCTTGAAGTGTTTCACCTTTTGAGGTCAGATGATGTCAAGTCATGAAGGAAGTTGGTTTTAGGAGTCTGGTTGCCATGGAAAATAGGTCTTCAGTGGAGTATTTACCTCTGGATGTGAACTTGCGTAACCGGAGCTGATTAATTATGCCGAGTGCCTGGCTTCCAGCCTCTTTTAAAGAGGCTGGAAAAGATGACGTGTGCAGAAATTTCACATAAG